ACACATGCATAAGGAACTATGCTGGTCGTTGGGTATACAAACACCAAATGAAAAAATGATCCCTCCTATTGAAAGCTTATGTTCTAGTCGGGGGGAGAGGTGGTGGTGGTGGTGCCTGGGATGGAATATAACATGTATGTGTACATGCATGCATGCATGCATGTGTACACACTCATTTGCATATGTGTGTATTTTTGTTATTGTTTAGTTGGTCAGTTATGTCTGAGTTTTCTTGACCCCCATTGGGTCTGTAGGTGTATGCATATTCAGCTTATTAAAGCTCAGACTGCACTAAGTCTTTCAAGATGCCCTATACATGATATACTTCTCTCTGTGTGTTTATACACATTACATACATAATGTACATACATAGATGTGTATACACACATGCAGACACACCACATATGCACACACATAATGCACATACATGTATACGCACATACCTAGATGTGTGTATATATGCACATGTACCATATATACATATACGCATACACATACATAATGCAATGTATGTACATACACATACACACATACACATACATAGATGTATATGCATTTATACCACATAATACATATATACACATATACATACATAATGCACATATATGTATACACATACATACATGCATACCCCTTGAATATTTTTCACACAAACTGTTATCTAGCCATCTCTCCTACCATGGACTTCATGGAGTTAACATTTCAAATGACTCCAATTCAGTCAGTCAGTCAATAAGCATTTATTAAGCACCTACTATGTGCCAGGCATTGTGCTAAGCACTGGGGATAGGGCATAAGGAAAGGCATCTGACAGTCTCTGCCCTCTGGGAGTTCACAATGCAGCGAGGGAGAAAGCATGGAAATATGTCCAAACAAGATGGTGCAGTGGGTAGAGTGCTGGGCCTGGAATCTGGAATCAAATTCTGCCTCAGACACTTACTAGCTAGCTCAGTGACTCTGGGCATGTCACTTAATTTCTGTCTGCCTTAGTTTCTTTAACTCTAAAATGGGTAATAATAGCACCTCCCTCCAGGGGTTGTTGTGAGGGTTGAATGATAATAATTGTAAAGCACTTAGCACAGTGCCTAGCACATAGTAGGCACTTAATCCATGCCTGTTTACTTCCCTCCCTTCCTCATCTGGTTGAAGATCTCTAGTGACTAGGATTTCATAAGGCAGCCCATTCCAGTTTGGAAAGCTCCTTTTCTCAAATGCAGCAGATCGGGGCCAGGGGAGCGTGGGGGAAGAAAATTCCATTCCTGGAATTCTGCTTCCCTGGCTTTCTTCAAGTCACAGCTAAAATCCCACCTTCTACAAGAAACCTTTCCCAATCCCTTAATTCTAGTGCCTTCCCTCTGTTGGCTGTTTCCTATTGGGCCTGTATATATCATGTTTGTACATGTTTGCATGCTTTCTCCCTCACTGCATTGTGAAATCCCGGAGGGCAGAGACTGTCTTATGCCTTTCTTCACATCTCCAGTGCTTAACACAATGCCCGGCACATAGGAGGCGATTCATAAATGCTTATTGACTGACTGACTGAATTGGAATGATTTGAGAAGTTACCTCCATGAAGTCCATGTAAGAGAGATGGCTGGATAGCAGTTTGTATAAAAATATCCGAGGGGTGTTAGTGGATTGCATTTGCACTCACCACGAGTAAAAGTGGGGCATTGACAGCTTATTCTCAGCTGAATGAATAAAGTCCTAGTGTCCAAGGGAGGTGTCAGTTCCGTTGTCCTATGCCTGAGTCAGGGCTCATCTGGAGGGTCAGCTCCGTGGCCACATTTTAGGAAGGACTAGCAGACTGCAGCATCGTGGGAGGAGGGAGATCAGGGTGGGGATGTGGGATTGGAGACCTGCCACCCACAAGAGGGTGGGTGAAAGGGCTGGGGATGTTAGTCTGGAGGAGAGAAGATTGGAGCTGGCGGCAGGGGGGAGGGCGGAGCACACATAGATACACGCAAGCTGTTTTCAATCAATCAATAACATTTATTAAACGACTGCTATGTGCCAGGCACTGTGCTAAGTGCTGGGGATACAAAAACAGGCGAAAGCCCCTTTTTCAAGGAGCTCAGAATCTCATGAGGGAGAAAACAGTATGTGTAAACAAGCACAGTGTACAAGATAAATTGGGAATAATTAATAGAGGGAATCCGAGAATATCTTGAAGGGTGGCCCTTGCAAAAGAAGGGTTATTTAGGCTTGTTCTCTTTGGTCCCGGGAGCAGAAATGGGAGGGAGAGGGCAATCTCAGAAAGTCAGATTTCTGCTCAGAAGAATGGAAAGCCTTTCTAGCAAGCAGCCTGAAGGAAGTGAGGAGCTCCCCCTTACTGGAGTTGTCCAAGCAGGCTGCCCAGGGGATTCCTGCACCGAGTGGGAGGTGAGCCGAGATGTGCTCTGAGCTTCCTCTCTACCCTCGGGGCCTGTGATGGCATGAAACCGAAGGAACTGGAGGCTTGTACATTGCGTGGGCTTCTGGAGTTTAATGTCACTCAAATGTTTCTCTGGTGACATCAAGGCTTTTCTGGAATCATATGGAGGAGAAATCCAACACAAGAAACTAGTGGGTGTGCAAGCCCCTCCCCCCATGTCTGTGTATTTCTGTCTCTCTGTCTCTTTTCTTCCTCTCTCTCTCTTCTCTCTCCCCCTCCTCCTATTTCCCCTCTCTTTCTCTTCTCTCCTCTTCCTTCCTCTCTTCTCTCTCTCCTCTTTCTCTCTCCCTCTCTCTTCTCTTTTCCTCTTCTCTTCCCTCTCCTTTCTCTTTCTCTCCTCTCTTTCCTTTCTTCTCTCTCCCCCCCTCCTCTTCTCTCTCTATTTCTCTTTTGTTCTTATTTGCTCTCATTATGCCTTCCTTCCAGTTTGTTTCATGCCATTGGTCATTTAATTCAGCCTTTTAAAATTTTATTTATTCTAAGTGGTACAATGAATAGACCTCTAGGCCTGGAATCAGAAAGACCAGAGTTAAAATCCCGTTTCAGATACTTACTAGCCGTGTGACCATGGGCACATCCTTTACTCCTTTCCAACTCCACTTTCCTTACTTGGAAAATGAGGATAATAATAGCACCTACTGGCTAGAGTTGTGAGGATCAAATGAGATAATATTTGTAAAGTGCTTTGCAAACCTTGAAGTGCTATATAAACAAATACTAGCCATTATTATTGTTGCTGCTGCTGTTATTTTTCTGAAGTCATTTCCAGGTATAGCACCCTCCCTTCCCCCCTAATTCCCTTCCTTGTAATAAAGAAAAATAGTTAAACAAAATCATCTGGAAACAAACAAAACCCTTGTCTGATAGTATAAGCAACTTTCTTCAGCTGTAGTCCAGCACTTCTGCTGAGACGGCTGAAATAGGTTTCAGCATCTGTTCTCTAAGACCCAGATTGGTCACTGTATTTAATCTGAGTCCTCTCTGATTGCCTCTAGTGTTTTCATGTACATTGTTGTATATGGAGGCAACCACTGGGCTCAACTGATTGTCTAGTGCTGAACTTGGAGCCAAGAAGACTTGAATTCAAATCCTGCCTCTGATACTTTCTTAGTTCTATGACCCTCTCAACCCTGGTGTCCTCATCTGTAAAATAGAGGTAACAATAGCTCCTGCCAAACAGGGTTGTCATTGAAGAGCAAATTGGACAATACATGTAAAAGTGCTTTGTAGACCTCAAAGCACTACATAAATGTTAGTTACTATTATTATTATTAGACAGAGTACATATTGCTCTCCCAGTTCTGCTTTCTTCTTTCGATGACAATTCATACAAGTCTTTGCCTCTTTTTGAATTGCTTCTATTTGTAGCTTCTTACCATTCAATATTATTCCATTATATTTACACACCATGATTTGTTTAGCATTTCTTGGTTGATGGGCAGTAAAGTGTGTTTTCATTTTGTTACTGCTACAAAAAGTGTCTCTGTATGTATCCTGGTAGATTTAGACATTTCTTTCTGTCTTCAACTGGCTTGGGTTTCTGCCCAGTAGTAGAATGGCCAGCCCAGGGGTATAAAACCTTGGAGGGACTTTCTCAAATAGTTCCAAGTTTATTTTTCAGAATTGTTTGACCAGTTCATTGTTCCTCCCACAACATATTAGTGTTCCCATCTTCTCCTCCAGCATTGACTATTTCTGTCCTTCATCATCTTTGCCAATTTGCTGAGTGTGAGATGAAACCTCACTTGTTTTAATCTGCGTTTCATCACTCCATTCAATCCAGTTCAACAAACATCTGTTTAGTTCATGATGTGATTTGGGCCCTGTTTCTGAAGCAGGAGGCAGAAAGGACCTTTCTGGGAGCAGAGGAGGGAGGGAAGGCCTTCAGTGCTCTTTGGTAGAAAGAGCCCCAAAGATTAAGGGCTGGCCTACTTAGCCTCAGCCACTGACCTGCTATGTGATTGCTCCACCTCTTCTGACCTCGGTTTACTTCTCCTGTCAAATGAGGAAGCAATTCTCTAATGAGAGGAATGATTGCGAATGACTCCTGGACAGTCTGTTTTGCTTGACTATGAATATTTGTCACAAGAATTTTTTGTTTCTCTGTAGTGGAGAAGGTAGGAGAGAGAGAAAATAGATTTGGTAATTAAAAAAATAAAATGAAACAAAAGGAAAAAGTGATAATTAGCAAAAATTTATAAGTGATTTAAACAATTCAATTTAATTTCAGACCACTTTACAAATATTCTCTTCTTTTACTCTCACAACGACCCTGGGGATATAGGTGCTATTATCCCCATTTTTCAGATGAGGAAACTGAGTTTCAGAGTGGCTAAGTGTCTGCCTGGGGTTACACAGCTAGCAAGTGTCTGAGGCAAGATTTGATCTCAGGTCCTTCTGACTCTAGGACCAGCGCTTAATTCACTGGGCCACCCAGTTACTAAATGACTTCTCTACAAGTCCTAGCCCCATCTCCTTGTTCCTGCAGGTAGGCTGGGCTGCCCTTCCCTTACTTCATGTCAGGCCCTGCTAACATGTGATCCTTCTCTTTTTCCCTTTCTTACAGAGTTTTCAAGAAGGCAAGTCCAAATGGAAAGGTGAGTGCAGTATATCAAAGTCACCACTTGCTCTCCTCTCCTCACTGAATAAAAACAATAATAGTAATAATAAGTATTATTTCCCCATCTCCCTCCCCCCACCACCCTTAGCTTCTCCCTGATCCCTGTGACCCAGATACAAGTCTACATGGTGAGCCATCTAAGAAAAAAAATGGACTGGAGTTAGAAGAGGGAGTTACATGCCCTGCCCTCAGGGAGGCTCCAGTCCAGTGGTATGCTGGTAAATGTTTAACAACTAGTTCTCTGGGGGAAAAAATACAGCCACAACACACTTTTAAGTGTAACCTGCTTTATTAACATTTTCTTCATCATTTTCTTAAGTCTAGATCATCAACAAAATGATAAATCTAGCCCAGATTTGTAGCATTTGCCTCCCTCCCTTCCCCCATCCCTAAGCTGCTACAGCTCACCACTGCCTTGACTGAGAGGGAGGTACCTTTAGGGAGCTCTGGTCATAAGGAGACCCAAAAACTTGTCCCCAGGACCTCAAGGAATGGATACACTCAATTTTTGGAAGCTCTGTCCCCAGAAGTTCTGCCCTTCAGAATTTCTGTCTACTCCTTTTCCTGTTTCCTAGGGATTTACCCTGCCTGCTAGTCTATGGTTGTCCCACCCATATCCTTGGGAGAGGGTTAGTGGGGTACAGGTTTGGCACAAGGGTGGAGAACCTGTGGCCTCGAGGCCACATGGGGCCTTCTAGGTCCTCAAGTGCGGCCCTTTGACTGATTCCAAACTTTACAGAACAAATGCCCTTAATAAAAGGATTTGTTCTGTAGACCTTGGACTCAGGCAACAGGCCACACCCGAGGACCTAGAAGGCCGCATATGGCCTCATGGCCCCACCCCTGGTTTAGGATTTTGGTGAGGACCCCCATTGGAAGCTGGCCAGAGCATCTGGCTTTTTGGCCCACATCCTCTCACTGTCTCATTGTCTCTCTCCCTTAGCTCACAGTCTACCTGGGAAAGAGAGACTTTGTGGACCACATCGATATAGTCGATCCTGTCGGTAAGTTCCTGTTGGTTGGGGTATTTGAGGGCTGGAGACTTGAAGCTGAGAAACTAGACATCAGCTAGACTGAGGCCAACTTAGGAGGAGAGGAAGGGTGCTGTGCAGCAGTAGGAAGGATTGAGACTTGCCGTATAACCTTGGGCAAAACACTCCCTTCTCTGAGTTTGTTTCTTACACCATAAAATGGGAGTGGGCATTGAACTACATGGGCAGCATTAAGGTCCAGTGGCGAGGGCACTGACTCTGGAGTCAGAGAACCAGAATTGAGGTAATAGGATTATGGGAAAGGGACCCCAGAGGCCATCTGGTTCAACCTTCTCATTTTACCAGTGAAGAAACTGAGGCCCTGGAAGGCAGTGATTGCTCATGGTAGTAAGCCTCAGGGGTGGTATTTGAACTCGGGTCTTCTGCAGAGCCAATGTTCTTTCTTGCCACTGTATTATACTTATCTCCCATGTTCCTAACCTTGGGGTGATCTCTGACACTTCTCTTTCCCAGACCCCTTCATCTGCCATGCTATACAATATTTGCATTTCCACAACATTTCTTGTATTCATTTCCTCCTGCATTTCTGCAGCCACTATCTTGGTCTAGGCCCCTATTGCTGTAATAATGGTAAAAGCTTAGGCAAAAAGCAAAGAGGAGGTACAGTCCTAATGCAGGGGGTCAAATTTGACTTCATAGGTGTTGGCAAGACTTGGTAGGCCAAGCCACATGACTGGACCATGGCTCTGTCTAGGCATACCTTATTTAAAAGAAATAGGGTAGATATAAAGGGGGAGGGGCACAGAAAGTAGCATATAGTAGTATATTAAAAAGGCATACTCAAGTGCAACCTTTTTTTATTATACTGTGTTATAGAAATGCTTGTTTTATTCCATAAATTAAAATTAATTAATTAATTTTTAAAAAAAAGAAGGCGGCATACTCATGTAATGAAATCCAGGAACCAGACTAGGGAGAGCATGATGGAGAGTAAATATGTGAGTAAAGTCAAAGGACAGAGACGTAGAAGTGATTTTGTCATCGGAGCATATCACAAAGCAAAGCCTTTCCTCTGACGCTTGCTACTAGCGGAACCTTAAGCAAATCACTTAACCTCCCTAGGCCTCAGTTTCTTCATCTGTAGACTAGATGACATAGCCTTGCTTCTATCTCTAGTTCTAGGATCCTTTCATCTCTAAGGTTCTTTTCACCTCTGAGGGTTTGTGACAGTGACGGAGACAGTGATGGAGAAAGAGGGGATATGTGCATTGTGTACACACACATGCAGAGAGATGCGGGAGAGGATTTGTATTTAATATTTAATAGTATTTATATAATAATATTGACATATTTAATTACAAATTTAGACAGAAAAAGACAGGGAGATGTAGATGGGGAGAGAAAGAGAAAACACATTACAAAAAGAGATGGAGAAAGGGAGAGAGACAAACAAGAGATGAAGATGGTTTTCTCTCTCTCCTCCTCCCTCCTCCCTCCGCCCTCCTCCCTCCGCCCTTCTCTCTCCCTTCTCTCTCCCTTCTCTCTCCCTTCTCTCTCCCTGTCTTTCTATCTCTCTCTTTCTCCACACACACACACACACACACACACACACACACACACATCTATCAAAGAGAGAAAAGATAGAGTGACATACAGAGAAAAGGGAGACAAAGACAGGACACACACAGAGGGAGACAAAGGGGAGGGGAGAGATATTGCTGCTGTGTTATCTTCTGTCCCTGGGGATGTTTTGGAAACATATTTAATAACAAATCCTGATGATTATACATTTGCAAAAGAATTTCATTCTCTAATTTCTCTCCCCTGCAAGAGAAAGAGAGGCAGCTGGTGGCATGGAAGGAGCATTGACCTGGGGATCCTGACACCTGAATCATGGTCCCAGCTCTGATCCTTATTAGTTGTGTGACCTTGGACAAGCCTCTTCCCTTTTTCTGGGTCTCGGTTTCCCTATCTGTAAATTGAGAGCATTGAACTAGATGACCTCTAAGATTCCTCACAGCCCTGAGACTTGGTGTCTTTTGCTCTAAAGTCCCCTCCTTGTCAACCCTGACTTTCTGAGGTCACTTCTGTCCCTAACAGATCTGATGGTATCGATTGTGGTATAGCAGAACTCGTAGTCAGGAAGACCTGGGTTTAAATCCCACCTCTGACAGGTGTAGGGCCAGTCATTTGATCCCTCTGAGCCTCTGGTCTCTCCAGTGTAAAATGGGGATGTTAACATCTGTGGTACCTGCTTGCCAGGGGTCACTGTGAGACTCAAATGAGATAATGGGTGTTGCATGCTCTGTAAGTTTCCAAGTCCTCTTGGAATGCCAGCTCTTATTAATATGGTCCCTTACAGCTCTGATCCTTGCATGTCCTACATAGATTGTGATGCCTTTCTATTGTTGCATGATCTATGATTCTAAATTGCCCTCTTTTCAGAAGCTCTAGAGCTAGAGCCTCTCTGGGATGCACTGGCTGGGGAGATTGACTCAGCCCAGGGAGCAAGGGAAGTCAGACTGTGGAATTAATGGAGAACAGCAGCCTTCTCTCCAGAGACTTCCACTCTCCTTTCTTCCATGGGTTCTCTTGGCTCTGGCATCGTGGTATCTGGGAAGGGCACTAAGGGAGGCTTAGGGCTTTAGCATCAGGATAGGGAACTTGGCCAGTTAGGAGAAAGGGTCCTATCCTTCAGAGACAGTAGGACAAGAGGCAGGGCAACCCATGATGAACCCGTGGGGCAACCTTTTAAGGATGCCCCAGGCAGCAAGCTCCAGGGCTCAGCGTAGGATGGGCTGAGAGTATGAGACTCAGGCTGGTAGGTTCATGGTCCATTTGCTCATTCATTCATTCATCCAACAAACATTCACTAAACATCTGCTCTGTGCATGGTCCTATGCTCAGTGCTGGGGCACATGCCGAGATAAATGAGAAACCATCTGGTGGGGGGAGATAATGCACGGACAGAAAAATAGAATGTCAATTAGAAAAGGACAGATACAATGCTGAAGGAAGAGATCACTTGCAGTTATTGGAGACTTTCTGGAGAAGGTTTTATCCAAGCTGGGCCTTGAGGGATGCCAACAGGGTCAAGGTAGGTTTTACTGAATCAGGGTAGAGTTGGTGGGTTTGGCAGGGGTACAGTTTTCAGGTAGGATTGGAAAGAAGTATAGAAAACAACCCCAAGTCCTGGGTTTGAGTCCCAGATCTTGCCATCAGCAGCTTAATTTCTTCATCTCTAACACAAGGTAGAGCTTCATTAGACAACCTCTTCAGACCCCTCCCAGCTGTAGCATTCTGGGATTCTGATGACTTTAGGATAAGGGTGGCAGGTTCCGAGGTCAAGAGTCAGTGTAGAATTAGAGATTTGAGGTGAGACGATGGATTGGTAGAATGTTTGGTAGAAAGGTTTGAGGTTTAGAGTAGGGATGATGTTTGGTGTGGGTTTGGATTCATTGTGGAGGTGATGATGTGTTTGGTGGTGGAGTAGGTTTATAGGATTGGCATTTGGGTTAGGATTGGTGAGTTCATGGTGATGTTGGTGGGATTGGGGTGATTGGGGTTTGTAACAGGGATGGGGTTGAGGAGGTAGGTTGGGATTGGGAGCAGGGTTGGTGGGATTGGAGTTTAAGATAGAGTTGGTGGATAGTTGAAGATGTGATTATAATAGTATTGGTTAGAATTCATCATTGGGTTAATGGGTTTCGAGCTCAGGGGTAGATTGCTAATTTCAGGGTGGTAATGACAAATGTAGGGTTGGATTAGTTTTGGTGTAGATGATATACTCAGTTCAATGCAATCTAATTGAACATGTATGAATTAATTAACAACTACATAGCAGGCTAGGTTCTAGGGATAAAATTAAGTCTTTAACCTCAAGGAGCTTTCATTGTATGAATTTGGGATTGGGTTAGTGGGAATTGGGATCCAGAGTCTGGTTGTTAGATGGAGCCTGAGTTGGTGAGTTCAAGAAGAGGATGGTGAGATTGGATTTTGGATGGTGAATTCAGGTTTGGAATGTTGTGCGTGTAGGTTTGGGTTACAGGGTAGAGTTAGAGGGTTAGGGAGCACTTGGGTCTAGGGTCTTCCCTCTTTCCCCTCTTCACTGTTATTTCTTTCAGATGGTGTGGTTCTGGTGGATCCTGAGTACCTCAAGGAGAGGAGAGGTGAGTCTCCTGCCCTGCCTTCCCTCCCAGACCTCTTCTGTGTGATTTCTTGTCTCTTTCCCCATTCATTTTTTGGTCCAGCCCCACTCCTAACTTCCCTTATACTCTCCTTCCCTGTTTCAAGGAGACATCAGTATTGATTATCTGTCCCAATTCCTTTTCCCCTTTCTTCTCTCCTGATCCTTGGCCTCCCATCCTGCCATCCAGCCCCATAAATGAGGGAGAAAACACTCCTCATCCTTGCCTATTCTAGCCTTACCTCCCCTGGACCAACTTATGTTCCTCTGTCCTCTTTTCACCCTAGCCTTTCTCAGCCTCCCTCATTCAGGCTCAGCAAAGGCCTGCCCTCAGACCAGACCAGCCTCTCCTCCATTCCCTTAGCCATCCCTAAGGACTCCCAGTCTCACCCGACTTCTTTAGACCCTACCATGACCCCTGACCTCAGACCCCCTTCTCATTCTTCTCCAGGCTAGCTTGTCCTCTCCCACTTGATTCTCCTAGCCTTTACTAACTTCCTTATTTCCTAGGGACACCCCAGAATCTTCTAACTTCCTCTAGCTTCAAGTCTCCCAAGATTATGCTCATTCTCTAGCTTTGGCCAGCTCATAAGGGCCTTCTAAACCTCATCCCTCCTCAGTTCTCACTAAACTCTTAAGGGCTCTCCAACCTTTTTTAGTTTGTAACCCCTCACTGAACTCCTAGAACTCAGACCCTCCCCAACTTCTCCCTGTGTAAATAGGCCTCAGTTTCCTCATCTCTAAAATGGGGATAATAATAGTTCCTACCTCACAGGGTTGTTATGGTGAATCAAATGAAATAACCTATGTAAAGCACTGTGCAAACCTTAAAGTACTATATAAATCCAAAATGCTGTTATTCTTGTTATTTTTAGTTGTTGTAATATTGGCTTCCCTAAACCCTCCCAGGTCTTTTCTGATAACCTCTCTCACTGGGCCCCACAGTGTCCACCAGCCTTATCCAACTTCCTCGGTCCTCCTCCAGGTTTCTCTGGCCTCCCCTAGCTTTCCCTAGCTTCATCCAGCCCTACCAAATGATAATCTCAGACAGTAGTCCTTGACCTAGACAAATCTCCCAATAGGTCCTCAGCTCTGTCAGTATTCTTCTTTCTGGTTTCCATGGCATCATCATACTTTCTGCATTTTCTTTAGCCTTTCTCAGTTTCCTTTAGCCCTACCAAGCCCCCCAAGTTGAGATGTGGCATGAGGCTGGGGGTATGATGGGAGGAAGGGACTGAAGAAGGGAAAAAGGCTTCTCTAAACTCCAGCCTCCCTCATCTTTCCTTCCTGGAATCCATATCACCTCCTGTATATACCACCCTCTTTCAACTGCTTGGTCTTAGAAAAGTCCCATTATCTTTCTCCAGATTGGATGGGTCCCTCCAAATCCCCCTAGCCCATCTCATTTCTTTCCCTCCTTGGGTCTCCCAGAACCTCCAGTCTCTTCTAATCTCTACCAAGCTCCTTGAGCTAAGATACTTCCTGCCCCTAAGACTTCCTGAACTCCCCTGTCCCTGTCATCTCAGGTTAATTTTCTAGTAGGAGAAAAAAGGCCTCAAAGTCTAATATATAGGATATTATGAGGACCCTTTTCTCTCCTCCCAGTAGGTATGATGAGGCTGTACATAGGGGCTTAGGCTTTAGCTGCTTTCTCCTTTTGGGAAAGGAATAGCAGGCTGTGGTCCCCCTGCATCTCACCCCCAACCTCCCTGTAGAGTAGGAGGCCACCCTTATGACGTTGCAAGACTTGGACCTCCATGCTGGATACCTTGCTGTGGCCTGGCTTCCCAGGAATGGACTGAGGGCATTCGGGGAGATGTGATTGCTGCTGCCTGAGGGGACTCGCTCACTCTCTGACTCTTGTCATTTCTTTCTCCCCCACAGTGTATGTGACTCTGACCTGTGCCTTCCGCTATGGCCGGGAGGACCTGGATGTGCTGGGCCTGACCTTCCGCAAGGACCTATTTGTGGCCAACATCCAGTCCTTCCCACCTGCCCCTGAAGACAGGCCCCTCACTCGGCTCCAAGAACGGCTCATCAGGAAACTGGGAGAGCATGCCTACCCCTTCACCTTTGAGGTGAGGGATCCCTGGGTTCTCTCCTAGCCTCAAAGATTCCTTTCTGGATTTTATGGTCTCCAGGAAGTTGTCCATTATTGATACTACCCAGCCCATTAAAGTCTAGTTTTCAGATCTCCTTCAAATGAAGTGATGTAAGAAATTACAGGGTCACCCTAGCAAGGAGCTGTCCAGCTTTAGCTGCTGCTGTTTTTTGACCATTACCTAATACTTGGAAAGCTGCCTCTTTCATTTAAGCATTTGGAAAGCAGTGATTACCAAGAGACAACATGGTTCCTCCAAGAACAGATAATGCCAAACTAACCACATTTCTTATTTTGACATAGGGTTACTAGACTGAGAGATCCTGGAAATGTCTTAGATATCTAGATTTTAGCAAGGCATTCCACAAAGTTTCTCACAATGTGTCTTCCTGGTTAGAATGTGAGGTCCCTGAGGTAAGGATTATTTCCTCCCTATCACTTGGTACAATTCCAGGCACCTATTAAGTGCTTAATACATCCTTGTTTATTAACTGATTAGGCAAGATGGAGAAAGGTGGGTTGAATGTTTACATACACACACACATCCCCTTTGAGAGAGAGTTGGTGAGCTGTGGGTGAGAGGTGTGATAGTTGGAAGGTGAGGGGAGGAAAACAAAAGGAAGGAATCAAGCAAGCATTTATTAAATGCTAACTATGTGCTAGGCACTGTGCTAAGTCTTGGGAGCAAAAATGTAAGCAAAAAGAAAGATATTCCCTCACTCAAGGAGTTTACATTTTTTTAAATTAAATTTTATTTTCTTTTTGGATTCACATTCTTCCTCTCCCACATCCTCAGTTGAGAAAGCAAGAAAAACAAAACCTCTGTTACAAACATGTATAGTCACATATAACAAATTCTTACATTGGCCATATCCCAAAAGCATGTCTTAATGACCTTTCTGTCATGAGGTAGGTCGAGTTTCATCTTGAGTCCTTGAGTCAATTGTGCTTGGTCAGATCAGGGTTTGTAAGTTTTTCAAAGTTGTTTGTCCTTACAGTATTGCTGTTACCATACAAATTGTTCTCCTGGTTCTGCTTACTGGACTCATGGGTGAACCATTAGTTCATACAAATTTAAGTAGCTTACATTCTAATAAAGAAGACAGTGCACAAAAGGGAGCTACAAAGGGGCAGGAAAGGAATAAAGATACCTGGCACAGGGACATGGTTTTAAAGGACAGAGAAAGTCAGGACTGGGCTGGGAGGGGAATGAAGGCAGGTTGGCCTGATGGTGGTGGTTATTCAGTTGCTTCAGTCTTGTCTGACTCTTAGTGACTCCATTTGGAGTTTTCTTGGCAAAGATACTGGAGTGGTTTGCCATTTCCTTCTCCAGCTCATTTTACAGATGAGGAAACTGAGGCAATCAGGATTAAGTGACTTGCCCAGGGTCACACAGCTAGTAAATGTCTCGGGCCAGATTTGAATTCGGAAAATGAATCTTACTTCAGGCTTGACACTATCTGCTGCACCACATAACTTGCTCCTTGGTTGGCCTGGGCCTCTTAATCCACAAAAATGGAAGCTTCAGGTGGATCTCACTAGTGGTAGAAGGGGAGGTGGGCCTTATAAGCCCACCAGGGTTGAGTGGGTGAGTACTAGGGTGAGCCAGCCACAGGAATAGCAGGCTTTTTTTTTTGTTTTTTTGTTTTGCTTTTTAGTGAGGCAATCGGGGTTTAGTGACTTGCCCGGGGTCCCACAGCTAGTAAGTGTTAAGTGTCTGAGGTTGGATTTGAACTCAGGTCCTCCTGACTCTAAGGCCAGTACTCTATCCACTGTGCCACCAAGCTGCCCCAAATAGTAGGCTTTTCCAGGGAATAAAGCCCCAAGGACTCCAGGATGAGCCAGCCATAGAGAGGATATAATTTTAAAGTCCAAAGAAAGCCAGGAATAGAACTGGTGAGGAAATAAAGAAAGGTAAAGGAGGAGTTAGGGGGAAGCAAGAGGAGGGAAGGATGCAGAACTAGCTGGATGATTCAGAGTCAGCAAGGAGTATTCGAAAGGAGCACATTGAGGAAACACTGAATTTGAATTTAGATGACCTGAGTTCTAATTCTAAGTCTGTTACTATCTGTGAGGTCACACAGAGGCCAGATCCTCGTTTACCTCATCTGTAAAATAAAGACCTAAAATGTTGAACCTGATGATTCCCTGAGATCTGTTCTAGCTTTAAATACCATGATCCTAAGGAGGGCAGTGTTTAGAAACTGCCCCAGAGCTCCTTTCTCGCTCAGCTCAGGGATGGTCACCATTTTTGGTCAGTGATTTGGGTGAAGGTAGAGATGGTGCCCAGAGCAGATTTGCAGATAATATAACACTGGGAAGAAGCAGTTAACAATTTGGATTGCTGAATCGAGATCTAAAAAGATCTTAATTGGCTGGAAGGGTGGACCCAATCTAAATGAAGCAGGCATAAAGTGAAAGTCAGCTGTACAGGTAGGGGGAGGCGTGTCTGGACTGCTAGCAGTTCATGTAAGAAAACCCTGAGGCTTTTCTTCATTGGCCACAAACTCAAGATGAGTCAACAGTGTGGTTGGTGTGACAGCCCTAAAAGCCAATGTTCTTGTGATGAATTCTCAGAAACAGATTTGGGTCATAGATTTAGAGAAGGGACCTCCAAAGTGATCCAGTCCATCCCAAGAAGACAAGGTGACTTACCTGTGATCCTAGGACTATGGTCTATAGATTTGGATATCTGGATAAATCTATGGATTTAAAGCTAAAGAGGAAATCAGAGGTCATTTTGGCCATGCCCTCATTTCACTGATGCTCAGAGTTGGAAAGGACCTTAGAGCATCCAGGGCTGGGGAATCTGCAACCTCAAAGCCACATGTGGCCTTCTAGGTCCTCAAGTGTGGCCCTTTGGCAGTCAAAGGGTCACACTTGAGGACCTAGAGGGCCACATGTGGCCTCCAGGCTGCAAGTTTCCCACCCCTGGATAGACCATAGAATGTTAGGATTGGAAGGGACCTTTGACGATGCCCTACAGTGTCTCAGCTACAAGGGCCCTTAAGAGCATATGCTATGAGAGTTAGGAGGAATCTGAGACTGAGTAGACCAGCCACATGTTTTTAGATGAGGAGACTGAGGCATTAGAGGGGAAAAGGCAGGTCCAGGTTCACACATGGAATCTCAGGTGGAACCGGAAAGGTTTTATGGGTACAATTCTGTTCAAGCTTAGACCAGGCCAGAAGTGACACCTCCTTAACTCATAGCCTGATTTCAGGGTCCTGTGGGGTAGGGGAGAGCAGGGGGAAAGGAGGAGGAAGAAATTCAGCTCTGTAAGAGTTCAGTAACTGCTGTGTAAAATTAGCCTGAGGGCCATCAACACCTTTGCTCCTGCTGCATTAGGAGGAAGCTGGCACCTCCTGGGGAACAACTCCCTCCTGGGACCTAGGCTTAATGGGCCACCTCTCCTAGCAGTGAGAATGTGCCCTATTCAGCTCAGTAGGACTGTGGGGGTGAGAGACTGGGAAGGGATATCACTGTCACCATCCTCACCACTGCCACCATCATCCCTGCTTAAGACTACAAAGTCTTTATTTCCAATGCTGTGTGGTCCTGGTTTAGGCAGTGGGGAGTGAACCATGGTGTCCTGGTCCAGTGGAGGACAGATACCATATGTTGTCCTTTCTCTTAGAAAGTACCTGGAGAGAGAGAGAGAGAGACAGAGACAGAGAGAGAGAGAGAGAGAGAGACGGAGAGAGAGACGGAGAGAGATGGCCTTTACCTGAGAGAGAAACCGGTCAAACCCTGGTCTGATGGAGGAGCTTGTACTTAAGCCTTTGCTAACCCTGAGCTCTTTTCTCTGCAGATCCCTCCAAACTTGCCCTGTTCAGTGACACTGCAGCCTGGGCCTGAGGACACAGGGAAGGTAAGTCCAGTTTTGTTCATTGCCTTTGGGATTGGAGTTCTCGATCATCTCCCCCAAGGACCTGACGGGAAGTGGGATGACCACATCTGGGCAGAAAAGGATGGGAGTAGTTTCAGCAGCCCCTAGGACCTTTGTGAGGGTGAAGCATGAAGTACCAGGGTGTAGTGAAGTGAAATTCAAGGTAGCAGTAGAACTAACTCAGTAGGTAGTGAGCTCCCCATCACTGGAGGACTGTAAATAGAGGCTGGATGAGCCCTTTTGGGGAAGATGGAGAGAAGATTTTCTGTTCAGATACTCGGGGGCTCAGTGCTCTTTCTGAAAAGAAATTCAGGCACTGAAATTCTGGGATTCTACGAAGTGCATGATCTCTAAAGCATTTTCTGCCCCCACCGTTCCGTTCTTTAGCTCTAATTCTATAAAGGATTACTTTTGTTATCTTAAAATCAATTGCCCAAGGAAAAGATCAGTGAGGCATGAGTAGACAGCAGTTCATGTGAAAAAGACCTGGCGCTTTTCATGGGTTTCTATACTCGGTGTGTGTCAGCAAAGTGAAGCTAAAATCAAAATAAAATGACACCCCTCACAACAACAAACCCTAGAGAATAGGATGCTGGGCTAAAGGAACAGGAATCTAACATGTAGAGGGAAGGAAGGTGACAGCCCCACTGCCTTCTGTGCGGGCCAGATCACACTTACGGCATTGTGTTCAGTCCTGGGTGAGGAAGGTGCTGACAAACTAGAGAGTGTCTAGGCTGGGCCAGTCAGGATGGTGAGGGGTCTGGAGGCTATTTCGCAGGAACTGGGATTCGAGGAGCTGGGGACGTTTAGCTGAGGAGCATGTGGGGTGGGTCGAGACTTGGAAGGACTGGCCCAGGGAAGAGGAAGGAGATTTATCTCACTCTGCCCCAGGGGGAGAAAAAAAAAAAACAAAAAACTAGGAGCAGTGGGGGAAGGAGAGAGGTGGGATGGTATATGTGGGGCAGATATTGGCTACATATGAGGAGAAACTTTCACATGATCTGAGCTGCCCACGAAAGGGATTGGGCTGCTTGAGAAGAAGGTGAGCTTCTTATCACTGGGGATGGGGGAAGGGAGGGAGGGTCTTCAAGCAGAGGCTGGATGGGGGTGATTCTTTGTTGGGTCTGTTGTAGAAGGAATTTCTGTTCATTTGACTAGGTGCTCCCATGGTCTCTTCTGACTGTGAGGGCCTGTGACTCTGAGGTTTTGGAAGAGCTGCTCCTATAATTGTGGTACAGAAGTGGGTGGGAGCCATGTAGATTGAGGTGGTCAAGGAAGACTTCCTGAACGTTGTAGGTTGGCAGGCCAGGGATCAGCAGGGATTTAGAGGGAAGGAAGAGAGGAAATATTTGTATCTGCCAAGGAGTGGTTCGGGAAGGCAGATTCATCCTGATATGAGCCCAAGTCTGGCACAATCAGGATGTGCTGTAACCAAAAATTATTATAATCCATTCCAAAGTTAATTAGACCTGGTTTCATTTTGATTTATCAAGTGGTTTGGATTATTTGGGCCACTACTCCCCTCCCTGCCTTCAGAGAACCAAGAAGGAACCTACTTTTAATTGGGTGACCTTGGGCAAGTCACCTCCCTTCTCCCAGGCCTCAGTTTCTTCAGTTGTGAAATGAAGAGGTCATGCTAGATGACCTCTAAGTTCCCTTCAAGTTCTGACCTTCTATATTTTCAAGTCTCTTCCAAGTGTAACATTTTGTGCCCTAAGGTCTCTTGTATTTGACATTCTATAGCCTAAAGTTCCTTCTAGCTATGGCATTCTGTGCTCTTTGTTCCAACATTCAATGCCCTAATATCTCTCCCAACTCCGATGTTTTGTGTTCTAGGGTTTCTCCTGGGCTCTGACATTCTGTGGTTCTGAAACTTGACCTCGTATGTTTGGCTTCTGAGGTCTCTGGGAATAAAGGAAAGCAATGCCTTTTCCCCCCTTCTAGGCTGTCACTTTCTTCATCTGTCAAATAACTACCCAACCCTCTTGTCTCCTAGGGGTGATGAGACAGCTTCTGTATTTTCCAGCACATTAGAGCTGATTTTTGTTACCTGAAATTTGTTTCAGGAAATTTCTGTGTCTAATCCAGCAGAATGAAGTTTGGCAGTAAGAATGTTCTCACCCTGGGTGAGCCCTGGGTTCTCTGAGGGGTAGAATTGGCATGGAGACTGTCCATATGGAAATGGCCTGCTCAGAGTTAACCCTGTGATGTACCTAGGTGAAAAGAATGGGAATTCTTTTTATAGAACTTAGGATGTCAGGATGGGAAGGAACAGTAAAACATGGAGTGTCAAACCTAGAGGGGATCTCAGAGATGATCGAATTAATCTCTACAAATGAGGACAATGAGTCTGAAAGAGTGATTTTCCCAAGGTCACACGGTGGACTGGAACCCAGCTCTCATGACCCAGGTCTTGGGTTCTTTGTGCTTTCCTGTCCTGCCTCAGTTCCCACTTCTTCACATGTGGGAGGGATCCTTGTTCCTGTAGCCTGGGGCGTACCTTGTTCCCCAGTCTACCCCATCTTCTTGCAGGCCTGTGGTGTGGACTATGAAGTCAAGGCCTTCTGTGCAGAAAATCTGGAGGAGAAAACTCACAAACGGTAACTAGGACCCGGCATCCTCTTTGTCAGCCCTGCCTGGGGGGAGGGAGGAGTGGGACATCGAGCGGGGCTCAGAGGGCCCAGAACTTTGTGAACATGGTGGTGGTGGTGGGGTGATGGTGGTAGGAATCCTGGGGAGAAAATGGGAGCAAGAGCTTTTAATCTTCTATCAATCATTGAAATGCTCTTGTGGCTTTAAAGAGAACACATTCCTTCTGAATCTCAGTTTTCCCCATCTGTAACATGAGACCCTAAAGAGGAAATGAGAATATATATGGTAGAAGCTCTCCAGTGGATTCTAGAGTGGATTTGGTATTCTCTTTATCTCTCGGACACCATCTGAATCAAGGGTGTATTCCCAGTACTCTGGAAGCCCCTGGTATGAGGGGAAATACATGACCTCTGCCCTTATCTGAAGAGGGGCAACATGGCCCTTCCCCTCAGGAAATGAAAAAGCCAGTGCTGAGGGCAGGTGGGGGCTAATCAGGGAAGAGACTTCCAAGAAGAGTCAGTATCAAACACACGAGGGAATGTTACGGACGGAAGACAGGAAGTCGGATAGGCATGAGCTCCATGCTGGAAATTGCATTGTCAGTTATAGGATTAAGTAATGGGACCCAGGAAGTGAAAGAAGGTAAGGTTTGGGCCGTGATGGAGGCTTTTTATCCTAAGGTTATGAACCCCAAATAGGGGCAATCAATAACACTCCTGTGTAACCCAGGTGGGTGGATGAGGGTGGAACGAACATAAGGTGAGAATCTGGAGGCCCAGGTGGTATGGGCCAGCTTCGCCATCTGGTGGACATTTCTCATATTGTAGGCAATTCTCTTAGTTTTAGCTGGAAAGAGCCAGCCCTTGACCCTCGGTTGGCTTACTGAGCCATCATCCCACTCCCTCAGCTGTTGTCCCCTCACTGAATACCCATCCCTCTGACTGAGGGGTCCTTCACCCCCCACTCATTAAGCCCTCATACTTTGCACTGAGTCTTATATTTTCCTTTGCCTCCCCCGCCCCCCAACTCAAGCACACTTTATTCCCTGTCAGTCTTTACCCTCTGTCCTCCTTTTTTAGCTCTTCCCCCTGACTGACCTCTCCATCCCTTTAGGATCATGGAATCATAGATTTACAGCTAAAAGGGGCCTTAAGGGGTTATTTAGCCTGGCCTCCTGATTTTCTGGATGAGGAAATAGTCCAGAGAGAGGTAAAGGATTCCATGGTCATACTGGAAGGAAGAACTGAGATTTGGATCTAGGTCACCAATATTCTTTCCATTGAACCATGCGCCATCTTTGTTTCTCTCCACTGAGTCGCCTCATCCTCCTCACTGAGCCCCCATTCTCCTTCAGTGATTCCCCATCCCCACCCTTCCCCCATATCCTCCCTGGGTCTCCATTCCCTTCTCTGAGTCCTCACTCCACCCCCTCACTGAGACTCCCATGCCCTTTTGAGCCTCAATCTCCAGCACTGAATCCCCATATCCTCCCTGAGCCTCCTTCCCCTGCCCTAAGTCCTGCATCCCCCACACAGAACCTTCAGCTCCCCCTCACTGAGCCATCACCATCATCATCACCATCACTAGCAGCTTGTTCTTAGCCTTATTCTGGAGGGAATCCCAGCAGGAGAAAGAGAGGACAGCATCTCCAGGGCAGATCACAGATCCAACTAAGACTCACTGGGATAAATGTGGGAAACCAGCCCTGTACTTTGTGGTAAGGACAATCAGGATTGTAAAGTAGGAAGCTGAGTGGTCAGGGAGAGAGCTTCTTGGAGAAGGTAGACCTTGAATTGGACCTGGAAAGACTAGTAGGATTTGGAGAATTGGAGACTGGAAATGTTCTGGGCAAGGGGATTGGTATGAACAAAAGACAGAAGGAGGAAGGAATGTGGATGTTCTGGGAAGTCCAGAGCTCCCAGAACAAAGGGTGCATGGAGGGAGATAAACCCAGAAAGTTAGGGTGGGTTCAGATCCTGGAAAACCTTAAAAGCATGCTAGGCTGAGTATCAGTTTTGATCGTGTGGGGATAGGGGAGTTAGAGTTCTGGAATAGAGGAAAGCATTGGGGAGTCTTGGGAAGGAGACCGAGCTGTCTGCCCCCAGTGGCATTATCTCTGCATTATCTCTTCCTCTCCCTGGCTCGTTCAGGAATTCTGTGCGCCTGGTTATCCGGAAGGTCCAGTATGCCCCAGAGAGGCCTGGTCCCCAGCCCACAGCTGAGACGACTCGTCAGTTTCTGATGTCCGACAAGCCCTTGCACTTGGAGGCTTCTCTGGACAAGGAGGTAAGGGCAATGGGCCCCGGGTGGTTGAAGAGCTAGGGTAGAGAGGGCAGTTTTGATGACAGAGTTAGGACTTTGCCATGATCCTCTAGGGTTTTGAACTCAAGAATGAAAGATGATTTTGGTGAGGACAGGCTGTCTGCCTTCAAATATCTGAAGCTTTGATGAAAAGAAGAAAGATTAGTTTTGTTTTGCTTGGCTCCAGAAAGCCCAACTAGGACCAGTTGGGTGTGGGAGGGGGATGGGGAGAGAATATAAACTCCTTGAGGGTAGGAATTATTTTACTATGTGTGTTTCTAGGGCCTAGCACATGCTTAATAAAACCCTGTTGATTGATTGATTGATTCAGTTAAATATAAAGGGACTAATTGCCTAACAGGAGAGCAGAGTAGAATGGGCTGCCTTGGGGTAATAAGCTCCCCGTCACTGGAGGTCTTTAAATGGAGGATGGATGATCATTTGTTAAGGATGTTGAAGGGGGGGGTCCTATACTCGGGTTGGAGATAGATAGATGACCTCTGAGCTCTCTTCCAAAGCTTAGATTCTCTGCTCTGTATGAGTGTGTGGGCTTGCTGCCTTCCCCTTCCCCCTTCATTTCCCTGCATGGTATGAGTGAATAAAGACAACAGACTCTCCAGAAGGGTGTTGAGAATTTCCTCCTTAGACTGGATAGTTCAGAAGAATCATCCGCTGCTGAAAGGGAGACTGCATCTCCTCTCATAGCTGTGTGCTGGGAGTAAATTAGGGCAACCAGATCTGCTGAAGGATTGGGATTTTTCTCCTTTTCCCCAAAAGTTCTGTGAATAAGTAAGGGTAGCCTCCTCCATTGAAAGTAGTTGTATGGGGATTTCTGGGAGTCATTAGTAGCACCCCTCCCTCCCAACTTGTCAATTTTGGTTTTGACTTCCCTTTAACTTTGGGGTCAATAGAAGCAAATAGGTTCCAGGGGTATCCCTTGGGTCAGGAAACTTTGAATTCACTTGGGGCAAATCAGCATATGTCTACTGTGTGCCTACTGTTCATTCATTCATTCGTTTATTCAATAAATAGGAATCATCCACTGTGTGTAAAGTCCTGTACTAGGTACTGGGGTGTAATGTGTACGTGTCGGGGAGAGGAGATATCATAGCAAACACTAGCCCACAGTCTCTGCCTTCATGAAGCTTACAGTCCAGTAGTCGGGGTGGAGGCAGTGGCACAATGTATATGTGGATAATAATGATACAATATAGAACAAGATGGGTATGTGAGAGAGGAGAATCCAAGTCCTGTCTGAGGTCTCTGGAAGGCTGCTTTCTGTCTGTGGGATAAGGAAATGCATCATGCAGGGGGTGACATTTGAGTCTGGCCTTGAAGATTTCAACTTGTGGCCAGTTCAACTTTAGCAGATGCTGGTCTACCATCTACTCCTTTAGCTGCCGGACCCAGATGTCTCCTGCTTCTAAATGATGTGATGGCAGGCTGCTGCCTACCATCTTGGTCTGCAATGAGTGACCTAACCTCTAGGGCGAGCGAAGTGATGCTCTCTCCCTGGCCTCAGCCCTGATCAGATCCCATTCTGAGAAGTATGTCCATTTCATGGGCCATAAGTGTGTTTAGAGAAGAATATGCAGATGGGGGGGGGACAGGACACCAGCCCATACCGGGGTCCCTTGAAGGTACTGGGGAATATTTAGTCTGGAGAATCAAACAGCATGCATTTGCTGAGCACCAACTATCTGTTAGGTACTGGGTTTACAGCAAAACAAAAAACTTCAAAACAAAACAAAAAAACAACAAAACCCAACTTGAAACAGCCCCTGCCCTCAAGGAGCTTAACATTTTATCAGAGGAGGCATGTCAGAGAGAGGGTTTCCATCTATGTAAAGGTTAGACCACATGCGCTCTGCTGGAGCAGTGGGCCAAGAGTCATGAAAACTTGAGTTCAAATCCAGCTTTAGACACTTACTAGCTGTACAACTCTGGGCAAATCACTTAACTGCTGTCTGCCCCCACTTTCCTCATCTGTAAAATGGGGATAATAAAAGCACCTTTGTCCTAAGGTTGTCGTGAGGATCAAATAAGATAACATTTGTTAAGTGCTATACAAATGTTTTGTCAGGGGAAGAAATGATCCCAATTCAGCACTATCCCAATGCCTATAGGAAAACCCCTCAGGAAGCGTCTGTTATCTCTGGGGAGAGAGGTGCCTCCTGAGAGTGTGGAGTCCCTAACAGAGTCCTGAGAGCATGGAGTCCCTAACAGAGATGTGGTATCCAGGAGTGTAGGCCAGGATAGTCCTTTTCGACCTTAATAAGCTGGAGGAAGGGAGTCTAGAAGGAGGATTGTCCCCTCTCCCTTCCTCATCTGCTTCTGGCTTATTGAGATCATGGTGTTAGGTGGTTCTCCTTTCTAATTGGGACAATTTTCTTGACTGAAAGAGGCAGAAACAAAGACAGCTATCAGAGAAGTAGTGGGTATGCAGCCCCATAGAGAAAAAACACCTACCCGGAGTACAGATATGGGGTCTGGTGCCCCCACCGGCAGATCAATGAGATAAGATTTGTAAATTGATCAGTGCCGGTTCCCTTCCCCATCTGACTATGATGACTCCTCCACCCTTCTCTCTCCACTCCGCCTTCTCCCAGATCTACTACCACGGAGAGCCCATCAGTGTTAATGTCCACGTCACCAACAACACCAACAAGACAGTGAAGAAGATAAAAATTTCAGGTACCTGGGGGGATGGAGCGTTGGGGGGAGATCTGCACATGACGGTTTGGAGAGCAAGTTTTAGGTGAAGTCGGTAGGGAGAGCTCTGCCCTCTTCACCCTCTTCCTGGGGTTGATGAAAGGATTCTCCATATTCGCCTTTCACATAGTACCTTGTTCAGGGGTCCAAGGGGAGGCAGCGGGCACACAGTGAATGGTTAAGGCCATGTGGGCTGATAAATGGGTTGCTGCTCTTGGACGGTGTGTGAACCACACAGGTTTAGTAGAGTGGAATGACCTCAGCCAGTATCTGGCTGGACTTTGCAAAGGGAGGCTGGAAAGGATGTGAGATGCTTCTGGGCATTTGTAGAGTGATTGTGTGTCACAGCTGCCCTGGGAGAAGGGGAGCTGTCTGTTGGCCAGTGGGCCACAGGTCCTCATGTCTGCTGAGGCCCTGCCTCTGGGGCTGCCCTGGTATTTCCTCTCCAGTGCCCCAGGGTTTCCTCCTTGTAAGGTGTCTTCTCTTTCTGCCCATAGTACGCCAATATGCTGACATCTGCCTGTTCAATACGGCACAGTACAAATGTCCCGTGGCTGTGGAGGAGGCTGAGTAAGTTAGCCCTATGGGACCTGGGATGGGTAGGAAGCATTTTGATTCTGATGTCTAGCCTTGACCCTTGGTGCCAATGGTGGGGGGAGGGGGTCAGGTCCTGGAGTCCAAAAAAAACAGAGATCAGCACAAACTCCTCCAACTCCCCTCCTTACATACAAATCAGATAACAAAAGCAGTAGATAATTCTCATGCCATAGATAATTAAAAAAAATAACTAAACAGTAGATAATCCCTTAAATAATCAGTGGATAATAAGAGATAATATGATATGCAGGGGATGATTTTTGAAAAGCAGATAATCTGAGAATGGATAATTAAGGAGTGATTAGCCTCCTAATAATAAACAATTCAAAATTTCAGATAATTAAAAAATAAATGTTTCAAAAAAAAGTCTTTTTCCTTTGGTATAGCTCTCCAAGTTGGTCAGCATGGGGTGTTGCCTGGTGTGAAAATTCTCTCCTCCAGTGCAGACTGGTGACTTACCTGCTATTTGTAGTTTTAATAAATTGCTTTGGACACTGTGAGGGCAGCTAGGTGGCACAGTAGATAAAGTGTTGGGCTTACAGTCAGGAAGACTTGAGTTCAAATCCAGCCTCAGACACTTACTAGCTGTGTGACCCTAGGCAAGTCACTTAACCCTGCTTGCCTCAGTTTCCTCTTCTGTAAAATGAGGTGGAGAAGGAAATGACATATCACTCCAGTATCTCTGCCAAGAAAACCCCAAATGGGGTCACGAAGAGTTGGACACGACTGAACAATAAAAGGGCACTGTGAGATTTAAATGATTTACCCAGGGTCCTGCAGCCAGGACCTGAGGTGTCTGAGGCTGATCTTGAAATCAGGACTCTTTGATTTCCCTAGGTCCCCTTGATCTCTGTGCCGTCCTGCTTCTTGGTGTGAAAAAAGCTAGATGATTTTTCTTTTAAAGCAGCTAATCCAAAACAGCAAATGGTTAATAGAAAAAAGCATGGATAATTTTTTAAAACCCTGACCTGATAATACTGAAGAGCGAATGATAAAAGTGTGGCTCACATTCGATCAGCATAATCCAAACAGTGGATTAAAAACCCCCCAACAAACAATAGATGACTTATTTGAAAAGCCGGTAATACAAAACAGGATATGATTTGGAAGAGCCGATAACCTTAATGGCCTGTCTTCTAGGCTGCAGACCTCCTTGTTTCTTTCACCTGTGGCAGCAGGCTTCCCCTGCCTGCCCAGTGGGGCCCAGGCAGGCCATACCATGCGTCATGGTTCTCAGAACATCACTGATGTGGCCGTAGGAAGGGAAGGCAGGGAGAGGCCAGCTTGGTACTGTGAAAAGGACTCTTGTGAAGAAAGTTCTAACTCTGCCATTTAATGCTTGTGTGACTTTAAGCAAATCACTTAATCTCTCTGGGCCTCTTTTTACAGTTTCCTTATCTGTAAAATGAGGGTGGTTGGATTAAATGGCTTCCGAGCTGTCTTCCAGCTTTGATGCTAACAATCAGTCATTTATTTAGACTAATTCAATTCAATTAAAAATATTTATTAAACACCTACTGTGTGCCAAGCACTGTGCTAAGCACATCCATTCCCCCAAGGCAGGGGTTAGACTGGATGATTTAGTTGTTAGAATGATAGTCTTAGAAGGTACAGAGGCAATGTAGCCCATTTTTCTCACTTTACAAATGACACTGAGGCCCAGAGAGGTTAAGGGACTTACCCAGTGTCAGGTAATAATTAGCAGAGTTTGAACCCAGGTCCCTGGACTTTGAACCCAGCATCCTTTGCATTGGCCCACCTGGCCTCTCTTTCAAAGTCTGTTTCACTCTCCACAATTAGTCTATTGGTCTAAGGGAGGGAGAGTGTGACTTGTGTGACGTGTGTGTGTGTGTGTGTGTGTGTGTGTGTGTGAGAGAGAGAGAGAGCGAGCGAGCAGGTGTGTGTGTGGGTTTACCTGCCTATCTGTTTGGGCCAGATGTTTGAGGGAGAGCATCTTCCTTTATCACTCTCTGTTTTCTCCAGTGACATGGTGGCTCCAAGTTCAACGTTCTGCAAAGTCTACACTCTTACCCCATTCCTGGCCAACAACCGTGAAAAGCGAGGCCTGGCCTTGGATGGCAAGCTGAAGCATGAAGACACCAACTTGGCTTCTAGCACCCTGTGAGGATACCCCTGATTCCTCCCCCATCCCCCACCATGGCTGTCCATTCCCCAGGCTTTTTCTGGATGCATGATCCCTATTTCCCCTTCCTGGCCTTGGCTGCTTATTTTCTGCCCTCCCTGGGCCTGCCAGCCCAGCCTCCTCTAAGCATCCTTAGTGTCAAGGCCTTAGATCATGCTTCCCCTTTACCCCCTCATCCCCACTTCCCTCCAAGCCTGAGCAGAAATTGCTTTTCTGTTGTCAAAAAAAAAGGCAGAGGAAGGGTAGCCATGACTCCTGATCTGAGGGGAAGACATCACTTACCATATTAGTCACTGGGGAAATTAGTTAAGGTGGTTCTAGAGACCCCTTTCTAAGGAGACTAGTCATTAAATAGAAGGGTAAGGAGAAATGAAATAGGAGAGAGAAATCTAGAATGTTAGAGTCTAGCCTCCCATTTTACAGATGAGGAAATGGAGGCTCACAGAAGGGATGTTAACTTACCCAAGGTCACACAGCTTATAAGAGGTAAAGTTGATATTTGAACTCAGAGCTGCCTCGGGTCAGACAGGCAAAATAGCAAAATGGATTCAAACTGAGGTCCTCTGAATCCGGATACCCAGTGCTTTTCAGGACATCAGATTGCCTCTCACTTGACAATTCTCGTCTCCCCAGACAGCCTTGAACTCCTAGAGCGCAAGGCCTACAGCAGGCCTGCACAACATACTGCCCAAGGGCCTCTTTGGCTTGCCAAAAGCAGCCCTAGGGCTGTATGTTGTAAACAGGCCTGGCCCATAGAGTCATAGACATTGTGAGTTGGAAGAGAGTTGACAGTCCCACTGTCTTCTGCCCTGGTTAGGGCCCATCTAGAGTACTGGGTATACTTCTGGCCATTCCATTTCAGGAAGAATTAGAGACCATCCCTTCTCTCTTTCCTCCCCTCCCAAACCCTGCCCCCCCACATACATACATACATATAGATACACACATTTTTTGGGGGGAGGCAATTGGGGTTAAGTGACTTGCCCAGGGTCACACAGCAAGTAGGTGTCTGAGGTCGTATTTGAACTCAGGTCATCCTGACTCCAGGCCCGGTGCTCTATCCACTGTGCCACTTAGCTGCTCTTATACACACACACACACACATATACACATATGCATATACACATATGCACACACACATATATAATAACATATACGTATAACTTTCCAAACCTTAAAAACACCATTTATAAATGTTAGCTATTATCACCCAAGGACTTGAGTTTGACCCATTTCAGTATGTATTGAAAGAGCTGGGAAGGTTCAGCTTGAAGAAAGGAAGACTTAGGAGGAACCTTAGAACCGTCTTCAAGACTCGGAAAGTCTGTCACGTGGAAGAGGAAGTAGGCTTGTCCTGTTTGTGGCCCTGGGGGCATAACCAGGAGTAACAGGTGAAAGAGCTGGGAGGAAGATGGAGAGTCTGTGTAAGGATTATAGATTTAGAATTGGAAGGGGCCTCAGGGCGTTGAGTCCAAAAGCTCCTCATTTTACAGATGAAGAAACTGAGCCAGACAGAGGTGAAGTGACTTGCCTAGGGTCACAGAGCTAGTGAGCATCTGAGGCCAGATTTGAACTTAATTCAAGGCTTGCAAGTCCAGGGCCCTATTGATGACATCACAATGTCTCTAAGAGAAACTTCCTCACAGTTAGAGCTGTCCAAAAGGAGAATGGATTATTCCATTCGATAGAAAGTTTCCTCTCTACCTGGAGGTCTTCAGGCAAAGGCTAGATGGTCACTTCTTGGGGCCACTTTAGGCAGCTGGGTGGCACAGTAGATAGAGCATAGGACTTGCAGTTAGGAAGACCTGAATGCAAATCCTGCTTCAGATCATGTGTCACTTAACTTCTGTCTCAGTTTCCTTAACTGTAAAATGAGGATAATAATAGTACCTAGCTTGTAGGGCTGTTGAAAGGATCTAATGAGATAACATTTATAAAGTGCTCTGAAAACCTTAAAGTATAATATAGATGCTGCTGCTGCTGCTGCTGCTGCTGTTGAGGAGGAGGAGGGAAGTTGTAGAAGGCATTCTTGCTTGGTGCAGGTTAGGCTTGATGAACTCATGGGTCCCTTTTGCGTCCATTCTTAGCCAGGGTTGTAGAGTAAGGGTAACCACAGTGGCAGAACAGACCGTTACCCCCAGGCGCAGAGCTCATTCCTCGGTATCCCGAGGCTTGCATTTCCTCTGCTCAGCTTTCCACATCTATCCTGTGTTGTTTCCTCCTCTATAGTCTTCCTTCCCCTACCTCTTGTCTTTATGACTTGTTTTTTCCCCAAACACTGCAGGTTGAGGGATGGCACCAATAAAGAGATCTTGGGAATCATCGTGTCCTACAAAGTCAAAGTCAAGCTGGTCGTTTCCCGAGGCGGGTAAGTGGGCCCCATCCTTCCTGCTCCTCCATTCCCTTCTCCCAGTCCTTTCCATCTCCCCTCACAAAATCAAGCCCTTCCCAACGCCCCTTGGGGCATCCACCTCAAGCTGGAGGCTTCCCGAGCAGGGTGGAGAGAGGAAGGAGTCAGCCTCAGCTCTGGTCCATTCCACAAATGCTCTCTCCATCCCCTCCTTGCTTGGGACATCATCTGGGGTAGCTTCAATGGCTTTGGCCCAAGGCTGGGTTTACCTGGGGAGAATGAAAGGGGTGTGGGGTCTTCCTCCTCCATCTTCTCTTTCCTCCCTCATCCTTTGTCCTTCTTCTTCCTCTCTCCCTCTTCTCCTCCAAGTATTTTCCATCCTCCCCTGGTCCCTCCTCTTCTTCTTCCTTCCTCCATCTTCCTCTTCCTCCTCTTATTCTTCTATCTCTTCTTCCTTATACCACTGCCTCAGAGGATTCTTCCATTTTCTCCTTCTCCATGCTCCTCTCCTCCGCCTTCTAGTCCTCTTTCCTCCTTCCTTTTTTCCTTTCTCTTCCTACTTTTTCTTCTTCCTGCTCCTTTCCTCCCTGTTCATCTCTGCTGCCTTCTCTTTGTTTCTCCTCCCTCTTCTGTATTTCTTGTTTTCCTTCCTTTGTACCTCTGTTTTATCCTTGTCTCCTTCCTCTTCCCTCACTCCTCCCACTGTCTTCTCCCTCCCTCCCTCCCTCCTTCCTTCCTTCCTTCCTTCCTGCCTTCCTTCCTTCCTTCCTGCCTTCCTTCCTTCCTTCTTTCCTTCCTTCCTTCCTCACTCTATCTTCTTCCTACCTCCTTCCTCTTCCTCCTTCTTCTTCTGCATGTTCCTCTTCCTCCATCTCAGACCTCATGGAGCCTTTCTCTGCTGGGGGCATGAAGTTTACCAAGTGAGTGTTGGGTCCTGCCCTCGGAGGCTAGGACAGTACAAGGTGGGAGGGGTGCCAAGCCAGAGGTGCCTCAGGGGCACTCCTCCATCCAGGTGTGAGCCAGGCCCCTCTGCTCTCTCTGGGTTCTTCCCTTCGTTAGACCATTAGAGCTGGGAGGGACCTTGGGACACCGAATGTCAAAGGTGAGAGAGATTTGGAATACAAAATTTGGAAAGGACTTTAGATCAGAGAATGTCAGAGCTGGGAGGGACCTTAGAATTCCAAACATCAGATTTGGAAGGGCCTAGAACACAGAATGTCAGAGCTGGAAGGGATCTTAGAACACAGAATGTCAGAGCTGGAAGAGACCTCAGACCATAGAATGTCAGAGCTGGGAGGCATCTTAGAGATCATCTAGTCTAACCGCCTGATTTTTTAGCTTCAGAGGTAAATTGATTCGTCCAAGGACACATTGGGAGTCATTGTCAGAGTCAGGAATCCAAAGAGTTTAGGACTCTTTGCACTCCAATTTTATTATCAATATCATGATTCCATATCTAACATAGAGAGCTAGCAGTCCAGGATGGTCTTATCTCCCTCATTTATCCCCACTGGGAGCTACAGATATTGCATGGATGACTTTGTTGGTCTCTCCCACTCTGAACTCTGCCTTCTTCTTTGCCTCCTCTGATCTGCGCCAGCCTGTTGGGAGATCTCGCATCCAGGTAACTCAACTTCTTATGACCCAGTTGCTCCTGAGCTGGGCCAGGCCCATTCTCCCTCAGTGGCCGGACACCCAAGGCCTATTATTGGGACTAGGGTGTCTTGTATTTCTCAGAAGTCTAGGTGGGTCCAGGGTCCAGGGCTAGGTAGACCTATGGTTAAGGTAGGGGATCAGTCTGTGGTCCAGGTTACATAGGAAGTCAGGGACAGAGTTGTAGCTCATGACTCCTTAGCCTGGGGCTTGTTTCACTACCCTGTGACTATGTATAGTAGACTTCAACTTTATTATGCTTTATATCCATCCACTGAGGCCCAGCTCAAATGCTATATCCCGGTGGTCCCCAGCTGAAAGTGATCTATTGATGCCTTTAGTTTTTTAGATCACAGTCATAACCTGATACACTTCCCTCCCACTCCCAAACTGGTCCTTGTATCAAATAAAAACATTTTTTAAAAAATTACCTGAGACCATATATAATTTTACATGCCTGTGTTTCCCTATCTCTAAGGCTTTTTTCTGCTGAGGTTCTTTCTGTTTTCTAGGAACAATATTTAATGTTGTTTTCATTTGCATCTTTGTCGACCTTGTGTATGTTGTTTTCCTGGGTCCGTTTTCCTCAATCTGTATCAGTCTTCCCATCCTTCTCTAATTCTTCATATTGTTGTTTCTTAGGATGTAAAAAAATCCCCTTTACGTTCAAAACCACAATTTGTTTGGCCATTTCCCAGTTAAAGGTATCTGTTCTATTTTCATTTCATTGTTAAGTTAATCACTTAGCAAACATTAATTTAGTGTTTACTGTGTGCTAAGTTCTGGCAACATAAATAATAGCTAGCATTTTTATAGCACTTTACAAATATTATCTCATTATTATAAAAAGGAAGGCAGCCCTTGCCCTCAGGAAACTTACACTCTAATGAGGAGATCATAGCTTAATAAATAGGTATTTACAAGATCCTTATAGAGTAGACGGAAGGCAGCCTTAGAGGGGAAGGCACAACAACTGGGAGGCTACCTGGTGAAGGTGATATTTGAGCTGAGTCTTGAAGGAAATCAAGGATTCCAAGAGTCAGAGGGAAGGAGGGAGAGCATTCTAGGCATGGGGCCACAGGGAGCTGTAGGAGTTCACTGAATAGGAGGGTGACATGATCAGAGCTGTCCTATTAAAAAAAAATTACTTGGCAGCTGGATAGAAAATGGATAGGAGTGGGGAGAGCCTCAAGTCTGGGAGACCAATTCTAGGAGGCTACTGCAGTTGTCCAGGTGATAGGTGGTAAGTGCCTGAACTAGAGTGTTGACTGTGGAAGAGGGTGGTTGAGAAGAAAATGAAAAGATTTATCAACTGATTGGATGGATGGCGTGAGTTGAGGGGGGAGTCTGAGACAACACCAAGGTTGCAGAGCTGGGATACTGGGAGCATGGCAGTGCCCTTGACTATGATAGGGAAGTTTGGAACAGGAGAGATGGGGTTTTTTTGGGGGGGGGGACTGGTAATGATTTCTCTTTTGGACATGTTGGGTTTGAAGTGTTTATGACACATCCATTTTGATATGTCTACTAGGCAGTTGGTGATGTGGGATTAGCGCTCAGGAAATAGGCTAGAGCTAGGTATAGCCATGTGAGAATGATATATACAATGCTTGAACACATGGGAACTGATGGAGATGATCAAATATAGAGAGTAGAGAGCAAATCAAAAAAGGCTCTGGAGGGAGCCTTGGGGGGTGACATCTATCCACAGTTAGTGGGTGTGGTATAGATGAAGATCTAATGAAGAAAACTGAGGATTGAGCAGGTGGCTAGGAGAGCAAGGTATTATGAAAACCCAGAGACAGAGAATTTCCAGGTGAAAAGGGTGGTCCACAATGTCAAAGGCTGCAAGAGAGGTCAAGAAGGATGAAGATTGAGTAAAAGCCATCAGGTATGGCAATGAAAAGATCATAGGTAACTTCAGAGAAAGTCGTTTCAGTTGAATAATGAGTTTGAAAACCAGATTGTAGAGGGTTTAGAAGAAAGTGAGGAGAGGTAGTGGAAACAACAATGAAGATGGCTTTTTCAAGGAATTTAGCAGATGAGAGGAGACATATAGGAAGAGAGCTGGTGGGAGAAGGTAGAGTCTAGTGAGAATTTGGAGGAATGGCTCATAGCCTTATATTTGTCACAATTACTTGTATGCTTTAGGTAATAGATTATTATCTGAGAAATCTGATGCAAATATTTTCTCACTTATATTTATATATAACAATAATTTATATAATTATATAATATATAAACAATATATTATAGAACATAGTAATAAATATAATAAAATAAATATGATAATAAATGCAGCTCTTACAACTGCATTTATTTTGTTTTGCAAGAGTATTTTAAGTTTTCTAATCAAAATTGTCCAATGTTGACTTTTGTGATCTATTCTGTTTCTTATTTAGTTATGAATTCCTTCCCCTATCCTAGACTTGAAAGATACCTTCTTCTTTTCTCTAATATTATTTTAATGATGTGATCTCATACATTAAGTTCATTTTCTGTTTGGAAACTTAATTGTGATATGTGGTGTAAGATGACTGTTTCCTGCCAGAATGCTTTCTAGTATTCAATCCTCAGTAGAGTATTGCATTTATCAAACATTGGGATACTGCATTTAATTACTTATAAGGATGGATTACTTAGTTTTTTCCACTGAGCTACTTTTTTAACTTTTAAAATCTGTACCAAATAGTTTAGTTAATTATCGCTGCTTTGTAATGTAATTTGAAATCTGGTAATGCTAGCCTCCATTCATTCTTACTTTTTTCATTACTCCCATTATAAGTCACCTCCAAATGAATTTTGTCATAATTTTATCTGATTATCTAAAGTAACCCCTTGGCAGTTGGATTGATGTGGTATTAACTCTGTAAACTAATTTAGGTAGCAGCTTTATTTTTATCATGTTGGCATGGCTCAACCATAAAAAATGAATATCTCTCCAATTATTTAAGTCTTCCTTTAGCTTCCTTAATACCATTTCCCATAACATTTTGCCTGGACCTCTCTTCTTTGCATTTATTTTCCTCTCTCCTATCAGTGTTATTTGTGTACTTGTCTCCCATCACCCTCACCCTTGCCCTGCCACCATTGTTGTTGTCTAGTTGTTTAGTCATGTCTGACTTTTTGTGACCCCATTTGGGGTTTTCTTGGTGAAGATACTGGAGTGGTTTGCCATTTTACAGATGAAGAAACTGAGGCAAACAGGGTTAAGTTGCCCAGGGTCACACAGCCAGTAAGTGTCTGAGGCCAGATTTAAACTCAGGAAAAGGAGTCTTCCTGACTCCAGGTCTGACTCTATCCACTGTGCCACCTAGCTGCCCTGCCCCCACTTAATTATAGACCCCCTAGAAAGCAGAATCCATGGTACATCTATCTTTGTACGCCCAGCCCTAATTATAAGATCTTGTATAAAGTAGGGGCTTCATAAATGGTGGTTGAATAATTATGTAATGATTATGTACTAACCATCTCTCACATATGTATATCCCTCTACATGTTATAGAGTTTTTTCCTCATTCATGATCTCATTTATTTTTCACAGCAGCCCTAGAAAGGAGACAGGGAAGGGGTTATTTTCTCCATTTTACTGAGGAAGAAACTGAGGGCCAGACCTGGGGGAGAGGGGAGGAAATTACTTTCCCCATGGTGATGCAGCAAGGCAGAGGTAGAGCTGGTACTCAGACCCAGGCTGATTTATTAATGTTGAACACAGAAATGCTCCCTCCCGTCCCCCATCCCCCAACATCAGAGGGAGGCCTGTCTCTTAGGGAGGCCTGAAGGGGGCTAGGCTAGGAGAGTCTCTGGGACCTGAGCTCAGCTCATTTTTCTGTCTGTTTCAGTGATGTGGCTGTAGAACTGCCCTTCACCTTGATGCACCCGAAGCCCAGGGAGGAACCTGTACGTCGTGAAGGTGAGTATGTTTGGGGGAGTCTAGAAGGGTTGGGGCCTTATTCAAGAAGCAGGATTAGAAGAGAAATAACTTCCCTTTCTATAGCGCTTAAGGTTTCCAAAATTCTTTCCTCACAGTAACCCTGGGAAGTGCAGAGGGCACAAGTTTTCCCATTTTACAGAGAAAGAAACTAGAGGCTGAAAGGGGTTGAAAGATTTTCCCACAGACACACAGTTAAGAACTGATAGGACTAATAGTTTATCTTCAACTCCAGCGCCTTTGACTTATTATTGGGAAGGGTCATCAAGATGGGGATTTCTCCTGCTTCTTTGGGGGTCAGCCTAGGAACTACCTTGGCTCCATCTTTCATGTCCATCTCTGACCTGTGATAAGATTAGGGCTGGGGGTGAAGGTTACAGAAAATGGCACTGGGGAAATCATTGTATCTAGAATGTGCCTTAGAACACAGAACGTTAGAACCACAGCATAAGAACCATGGTTAGAAGCACAGCATCAGACTGGAAGGGACTTTAGAACATAGAACAGAGAAAACAGTGTTAATGTGGAGACCAGAGGAGTGAGCCACGGCCCAGAAATGAGAAACATCCCACCAGGAGTCCTATACTGAGTCCGTGGTATCTCCTGACTCTGGGGGCCTTTCTAAGCACAGACTCCTCCTTCCCTGTCTTTCCCTTCTAATTTCATAGGATTATAGGTTTCGAGCTGAAAGGGACCTTAGAAATCATCAAGTTCAGCACCCCCTACCTCATCTTAAAGATGAGGAAACTGAGTCCCATTGAAGTGACTTGCTGAAGGGAACCTAGGTCCTTTAACCTCCAATCCAGGCCACTTGTCCTTATTCCATTTTGGGCTCCTTGAATTGAGGTTAGCACAGGTCAACTTGGAGGTAAGGAGTTGGGTACAGTGACCTCTGGACACCTAACCCTTGGGATTCAATGCTTTCAGGGACTACATTGAGGATGGGCTCTCTCCATATCCCAGCTCTTGCAAATTCTCCAGTCTCATGTTGGGGTTAGCTTTAGGGGTTGAAGTGGGGGGTGAGAATGAGCTCTGGCATGGTACCATTCAGAGAGGGTCCTAGAAAAGGGGTTGTTTGGGAGGACACATAGCCCCAATCTCCCTGAATCACAGCATCACCCACCCCTGAAGAAAAGAGAAGAAAAGTCAAAGTCCTTCTAGGCCTGGAAGCCATTTCTAGGCCTTTAGAGCAGGAAAGGACAGAGTTCTTTACCTTTTTTTTGTATCATGGACCCCTTAGGAAATCTAGTGAAAGAATTTAGGAAATGCTTTTTTGTTTGTTTGTTTTTGAGGCAATTGGGGTTAAGTGACCTGCCTAGGGTCACATAGCTTGTATGTATCTGGGGCTGGATTTGAACTCAGATCCTTCTGACACCAGGGTTGGTGCTCTATCTATTGTACCACCTAGCTGCCCCATGGAATGGCTTTTTTTTTTCCTGAGGCAGTTGGGGTTAAGTGACTTGCCCAGGGTCACACAGCTAGTAAGTGTCAAGTGTCTGAGGTTGGATTTGAACTCAGGTCCTCCTGACTCCCAGGCCAGAGCTCTATCCACTGTGCCACCCAGCTGTCCCATATGGAACTGTTTTTTAAATAATAGAAGGAAATACTAACTTTCAGGTAGAGATTAGTGAAAATAAAGATGCAATTTTTTTCCCCATGCAAGTTCACAAACCCACTGAAATCTATCCATAGACCTCTTGGGTCCAGAAACTCCAGGTTAAAAGCCCACTAGACCAGTGCCTTCATTTTGTAGGAGGGAACTGAGTCTCATAGCGGGAAAAGGACTTAACCCTAAGTCCTACAGCTAGTGAGTAATAGTATCAGAACTAGAATCCAGCCCTTCTCACGTCAGGTCTGATGTTCTTTTCACTAAATTGTGCTATCTGTAGACAAACTGTAGACTAGTCCATGCTCAGTTCCACCGCCCTCCCTTCCTGTTTCCTTCTGTGTGTGTGGCGATGGTTGCTGTGACTTGGGCAGCCAGTCGTTCATGCATAAACTCACTAACCCCGTGTCCTAACTCCCTGTGTTTAGTTCCAGAGAATGAAGCGCCCATAGATACCAATCTCATAGAACTTGATACAAAGTAAGCTGAACCCTGACTTTGGATGTATGGGTGGGGAGGGGAGTGAGTGAGACAGAGAGAGAGTGTGAGTGTGAGTGTATGTGTGTGTGAGTGTGAGTGAGTGAGTGTGTGTGAGAGTGAGTGAGTGTGTGTGTGTGTGTGTGTGTGTGTGTGTGTGTGTGTGTGTGTGTGTAGGAGACCGGCTGTGGTGGGAAGGAGAGGGAATGGCCTGGCTCATTGGCATATTAACCTCTAATGAGTCAGGCCCATTCACAGCTAACTCAGTGTTTCCCAAACCACTTGACCATCAGAGACTTTGGGGCCTGGGACACCATATTGGTCTAATTATAGGCTGCTCCCCTAAGATAATAACTCTCCTTTACATAGTGCTTTAATTTACAAAGCACTTGTTAAGCCTCTGAGGTAGATGCTTGGTACATAGTAGGTGCTTAATAAGTGCTTATTAACTTAAATTGAATGGTAATTTAATGTGGGAGTGGTGGGGGTGGAGGAGGTTTAGGTCAATGATTTCATCCCTGAGGTGACTGTCTAGTATAGAAACTCTCTCCATCAATGCTAGATAAAGCGTTTGTTAAGCACCTTCTATGTCAGGCACATGATATAGTCTGGGGAAACAAAAAAAAGGACAAATCCTTACCCGTGGGGAGCTTCTGTTCTAAGCAGGGGAAGACAACCCATAATATGCTCTTAAAGAGTTGTCTTGGGGCACTGGAAAGTTAAGTGACTTACTAAGGGTTAGTTCCATAGCCCTCAGCAAAGGACAGCTCCCCAGCCTCCAGGCCATAGTGCCTCTTACATGAAGTTCCAGTGTGTGGAAATGAACCAATAAAAAGTCTGAACACTGAAGAATAATACCTATTATGGGTTATACTCAGGTTTTGCACAAGCCAGGTCTAGGGAAAAAAGTGGCCTCCCTTTAGACCAATATGGTATATATGTATATATACATGTGTGTATATATATATATATATATATGTATATGTATATATGTATATATAGTATATGTATCTGTATATATATGTATATGTATATATATATATGGAACCTATAAGTGGCGAGTGGGAGAATCTAGGGGTACCCCTCCCCATAAAGATGGGATGGGGGAAATTTTGGAGCATATTTTCACATTTTCAGATTGCCATTTTAAGTGTTTTTAGTCTAGAATTTCAAACTTCATATTTTAAGGCAATGGAGAATATGGCTCAGTATTGAAATTTTCTTGTTTCAAAACCCCAGGGTTCCAGTGGACACGGTTTGGGAAATGCTTGGCCTAACGCACCTGCAAGGAATCCTGCCTGGCCTGGCATGTCCGGCAGCAAGCTTGGCTGCCTGAAACCCTTAGCATGCAAGCTGGGCCCTCTCCTTTTCCTTGTGTCGTCTGTCCTGCTACTCCACCCTTCACCCCCATGGGGTATCCCTGAGCTAGGAAAGCTGCGAGGAGACATCTGCTCCCACCCTGAAGCCCTCCGCCTTGCCCGCCTTGCCCGCCTTGCCCTGCTTGGTTCTTGCTGGTACCAGTGTCTTTTAGGCTGTGCTTTCGGGTGGTTTGGGGTTTTTGGTTTTTTCCTGACTCCCAAGAATCAGCCCTGGTTTTCCAGAAGTCACAGAATCTCAGGGGTTGCAAGGAACCTCAGAATGCATGTAATCCAATCTATATCCAGAGAAATCCCTTTGCTAATATCATTGACAAGTGGTTGTCCAGCTTCCACCTGAAGACCTCCAGTGATGGAGAATTCACTGAGCCAGTGAGAGAAAGAGTGATCACACTGATGAGAGATATATGGGGCCCATCTCCTGACAATTTTCGTTTTTGGGAGGTTTTCCCTTATGTTAAAACAAAACCTTCCTTTCTTTAACTTCCTCTCATTGTGCCATGTTCTGTGCCCTGGGGCCAAACAGAATGAGTCTAATCCCTTTTCTGCACCTGAGGCCTACTGATACCCAAAAATAGCTGTAACATACACCCTTCTTCATGGGTAAACAATATACCCAGTTCCTTCAACTCAATCTCATGTGGCAGGGTTTCCAGTCCCCTTACCATCCTCTGGATGGTCACCCTCCTCTGGATGTGCTCCAGTTGGCCACTGTCATCCTTAAAATGTTATGCCCTGCACCAAACACAGTACTCTGAAAAGCATCTGCCCAGAGCAGAGGGCAGCAGAACTATTGTTTCTGGATTCTGCACCTTTCCTAATGAAGCCTAAGCTCACATTATTAGTCTTTTTGGCTGACATGTTGCATTGTTGAGTTGGTGGTCTACTAAGAGCGCCAGATCTTTTTCACATGAAATGCTTCCTAGTTACTCCAGAACATGGAGGCATACTGTAGCCCATGGGGTGCACGTTGTCAGGAATGTTGTAGAGAAGATTCCTGTTTGGGTGGGGTTTGAATTACTTGCCCTCTGGGGTCCCTTCTACCTCAAAGATTTTGTGATTCTCTCTTCCTTTCTTGTTTCCACATCAGTTCACAATTGGCTGTGAATTGACCCCAGATGTCTGTCCCCTCAACAACAGCTCCTCCCTAACTTTCATTATAGAAAGCAGTGTCTATTTGTGACCCACCTGGAGCCACCCTGTGGACTGTAGCCATGTCTGGCCTGGGCTGGGGCAGCTGGGTAGCCTTTTTGGTACCTTGCCCCTAAGTTGCCCTGGTTTTTACTTTTCCCTGTGGATGTCCCTTCCCCTACTGACAGCTTTTTCCTTCTCTCTCCTGTCAGCGATGACGACATTGTGTTTGAGGACTTTGCTCGACAGAGACTGAAAGGTATGAAGGACGACCAGGAAGAGGAGGAAGTCCCAAGCTCGCCGCACTTAAACAACACATAAGACTGGACTCTTCTTGCCCTTCTTCTTGGGTGGTTCCTGGTTAACTCTTGTGAATTAAGCAGCTTGTTGTCTGTTCTTTTCCTTCTCCCTCTTCTTTTTCCAGCATTTCTTTCCCCTTCTGTTTTTCTACTTCTACCAGGAGACTCCAGAGGACTTATGTAGGTATCATCAGGGATCTTCACCCCCTGGCTTTGACCCACTCATCACCATATCACTGAGCCTCCCCAGTGGATGCCTTGTTTCTGCCCTGGAGAACGAACGAATGGCTTACTACTCTTCTTCCAACCTTAATCCATCCCAAGCCCTCTGTTTCTGTCTCACCTTCGATCCCCTCCAGCCAGCCAGCCAGCCAGCCAGCCAGCCTTCAGTCTTCTCCGTGTGGCCAGTCTCTAGAAGCTTCCTAATCTACGGTCTTTGGATTGGATTGTCTCTCTTCTGCATACATTGGGTGGAATCCGTCCGATGGAATTGAGTGTATGAATGTGGAGTCTGGCGAGGGAGAAGGGAAAGGATTGCCAGTTTATGTGCGTTTGAGGGTCGAAGCAGGGGGATGGTTCTAGGCACAGCTACTGAAGGTGTGGGAGGTGACATAATTCTAGCCAATGGCATGCTCAGAATGGCCAATGAGACAACCTGGCTGAACTGCCTTGGGACAGAGAGAAGGAGGTAGCAAGTGCGGAGCTACTCACTGGGGAGGGTGGGGAAGAGCCAGCAGCTGGGCTCTCCGTCCTTCCACCCCCCTTCCCAATATTTTGGTGTTTGGGACAGTGATGGTATTATAACATAACAGTTCAATAAGACAAAGCAGTCAAATTGATGTTCTTACCAGCAGTTACCAAGTTGAATGCAGGTTACAAGAATTAGCACAAACATTTTAATACTGTCAGAACTTAGTCTCTTAAGTGATATGTATCTTATATGTATTAGAGACAGAGGAAGAGAGAGAGCTGGATGTATCATTTTTATATTAGGATGGACATTGTCCATGGTCCAGAAGAAAAAAGCCCTTATATTTGAAGTGAGGAGAGGAGGCATGTCTTGCTTCTGAGTCCCTGGTAGCAAACGGATCAGTGTCTCTGGGGAAGACTTCCTAGAGAGACTTTTCTTTCCTGAATGAGATGTTCATCCACCCTACGACTGGCAGAGTTTTAATCTTCCATTTAGCAATGCAATGCAATACAATTAAATTCAATAAGCATTATTAAACGCCTACTATGTGCAAGGGTTATAAAGATAAAGGGAAACATCCCCTGCCCGCAAGAAACTTATATTCTAGTTGGGGGGAGGGAGTGGAACTTACGTTCTTCCATTTGGTTTATTAGTTACTGAATTGCCCTCAGATCACACGTGGGGGCTGAAGGATGGTTGGATTATATGGTGGGTTCTAATCTCTCCCAATTCTCTGGGAAGTCTCTGGCTGGGATTCCTTCTGTGGCCAGGTGAGGGGATGCACGTATAAAGAGGACACAGCTGGTCCCCAGAAGAAGAGGTAGTACAAAGACCCAAATGTTGGTTTTGTTTACCTCTTTAGAAACAGAAGGAAGTGATATGGAAAGACAGGTTTATTCCTTAGGACTTGGGGAGTTAAAAAACAAAACAAAACACCTCAGAGATCACTAAACCGGCCTTTCCTCTCCATTTTACAGATTAGGACAATGAGGGCCAAGGAGGTTAAGTGACTTGTCCAAAGTCACACTAATTAATAAATAATAAAACCAGGATTCAAACCAAGGGCCTCTGATTCCCAGTCTGCTATATCCTGGACAGGGAGTGCCTTCCAAAAGTTTTCTCTCTGACTCCCTTGGGTCCAGATTTGGATTTCCAGACCAAAAACTTATTTCTGATCCCCTGAGGTCATCATCTTGCCAACAACTGGTTGTGTTCTGGGTTTCTTCTCTAAAAGGAAAGTTATTTCATTAGAGAGGAAGCAAATGGATTCTTCTGGAGTGGCTGCTCTCTTCATCTACACCTACAGATTCAAGCTCAGCAGTTTCTCCATCTTTCTTGGATCCTGGAAAGTCTACAGAGCCACAGAGGGACAATTGGAGCAGAGGATGGGATCTCTCTCAGTTGACCTAGAGACTATAGAAAAAAAAACTTTGACACTAATACATGGAATCCCTCCCAGTGGAAGGAACCCAAGAGTCATCTAGTCCAACCTCTACCCCAGTTTGAGACTCTTCCCCTACAACCATCACAATGAGGTCATCTAATATGGATTGAATGTCACAGTGTGGTGGAAATGGCCCTGAATCCAGAGTCATAGGAGCTCAGATTTGAACCCATAAGAGTTTGAATGTGCAGAACAAAGAATGAATACCATATTTGGAGCAATAACTAGGAACTTTTACACCTGGAATAAAGGAATAGGGGAAAGATAGGGGTAAAACTCACCAGGGGTATAATTGCTGGGTGGTGGGATAGGGATGAAAAGGGCAACCTTGAATGGTACTGTCAGCATCCAACAAATTTTGGTGCCCTAATAGCTCTCATCATGTTGATTGATATAAGGAAGTGCATTGTAATATAAGATCCCTGGTCCTGCCCAATAGTCATTGATTGCCACAGAGAATTCTGTAGTTTCTTCCTAAGCAGTATTTTGGGCCCCTGGATCAGTGTATGTTGTAGCCTGGCAGATTACCATCTTTTCATCTCCTGATTAGCAAGGTTAAGGGACAGAGTTCTCAGAGCACCCCCCAACTCTGACACCTGTGGCATCTTCAACAGAAAGTAAGGAGCAACCTAGCCACCAAGGCAGATTCCGCCAGAAGGACAAAGAACCTACAGGTCTCACCTTGTTCCTGCCAGTCCCGATGTTTTCATGTGCCAACACACCCTTTCTAGGAGAATCCTTGGCAGTCCACTCAAGACCTCTTCAGGAAGATGGCACCATGTTTAAGGCCTGAGAACTGAGCATAGGGAGCAACAGGGAAGGAATGGCAGACAAACTAGATGGCCCCTTGCAGCCCTTCCAAATCTCTTTTCCTCAGCTTCAAATTATAAGCAGCAGTACAGGAGAGTTCACAGAATCACAACTCAACATTTATTAAGCACCTATTATGTACTAGGCACTATTCTAGGTGCTGGAGATATAAAAAAAGGAAACAGTTCCTGCCCTCAGGGAGCTCACATTCTATCAGATTTGGCCCAAAAGCCAGCTAGTCCAGTCTGTACCTCAGCAGCAAAAATCTCTCACCCTCTTACCCATTTAGTGGAAGATTTAGCAGAATAATCATCTAGCCTTGAAGGTCTCCAGTAAATGGGAATCTGCCACCACCCACCAAAAGTCCGTTTAGCTTTTGGACAGCTCTCATCGTCAGGAAGTAATTCTTATATCAAAGTGAAATTTGCTTCTCTATGACTTTTACCTACAGGATTGGTTTTCTCTCTGGGTTCCAGCTGAACCAATGTCTTTTACATGATAGCCCCTCAAGTAATTAAGTGGAAAAAGCTGTCATGCCCCCTCTCAAATATTTTTCTCTAGGTTAAACAATCCACAGAGTCCTTAGCTAATATTAGCTAGACATGGTCTTCATTCCCTTTCCCATCCTTGAATCCTGTGAGGACAAGTTAGGATGTGGACCTGAACTGGTCTAGTAAACTGATGCCTCTCACTGTTGAAGATGAGCGTACAGACTGAAGACCCCCTCAGTGTGGCCGGGCATCCCACTGTTTATCCTTAACTTCCAGGACCAGAGAAGGCAGAGTAAGCATAGCAGGAGAGAGATCTTTTGGTTTAGATGACTGAAGAGGCTATTGTGTTAAGGAAAAATGGTCAAGTCTTGGTTCTTGCCTTGAAGGCCTCTCTCTGCAGAGGATTCTGTGGATTGATTTTTCTTTTGGTTCATTGCTAAAGCATGAGGTATTCCAAAAACTGTTTCTCCATGAAAACATGCTCCTGATCCCCATAGACATCTGGTCCATTTCTTTACCGATGAAGGACCACAGCACCACTGTGCTAGGGTCACTGCAGCTCATGGATAAACTGGTGCCATTTGCACTGTGTGCAGAGGGAAGTGGGGGAGGTGAATCAGATCACTGAGCTCCACAAACTTACTCAGTACCTGCTCTTTGCAAGGACCTGCACCAGGCTGTGGGAATGCAAAGAAAAAGCTGAAATGGTCCTTCCCCTCAAGGAGCTTAGGTTCTACTAGGAAAATGCAGTGTGTACATGGATAAGTAAATAAAAGGCCATTTCAGGTACTTGACCTTTGAAGGAAGATACATATTCTACCAGAGGTAGAGTGCATTCTAGGCACAGGGGTGGGGGGAGTGGTAAACAGCCCAGTGAAAAGGCTTGGCAATGAGAGATGCCAAATACTAGAAACAACCACTAGTTTAGTTTGATTGGAACATAAAATATGTGAAAGAGGGTAATATGAAATCATTCTGGAAAGGTAGGTTGGAACAAGACTGTGAAGGGATTTAAATGTCAGGATGAGGTGTTTGCATTTTTATCTAGAAGTAATAGAGGGCCACTGAAGATTTTCTGATGCCTTAGTTTTTGGTGGCTTTGGAGCATGGATTGGAAAGAGGGAGAGATTGGAAGCAGGGAGACCAATGAGGAGGCTGTTAAAGTGGTTTAAGTCAAGAGAAATGCCACTGGGAGAACAGAGTATGGAATGTGGAGGCAGAAGCTCTCTAAAATGGAGAGGTTGGCCTCAGTGGTTCCTTAAGATCCCTTCTGACTTGAAGCCTATGACCCTATGAGGGAATAACCGGCCTCAGTATGATTACCGTCTCATTGTTCTAACTTGGCACATGCTTCTCTACGGCCAGTCCTGTTTTATCTCCATACCCCTGCAAGGACGGAGGCAGGGTTTTGTCAAACTGTGTTTTAGAAGAGAAACTTTGGGCCTAAGTCACATAGTAGGTCCAAGAAGAGGTGAAACTAGAGCCTATCCTGGCCCAGCATTCTCCTGGACCACACCACCCATCTCTCTGGGTCGGATTCATCAGGAGATCAAACAAAATGAGCACAACTTGATTTATCCTCATAGAAGAGAAATAATAGGCCACGAAAGAGTCAATCTAATGCTTCTAAATATGTATTCGCTGACTTAGAATTCAAAGATCTGAAGGGCCATCTGAGCCAATTCCTACCAAGATCATGAACCCCCATCACCAACATTCCTGACAAATATTCATTTTGAAGACCACAAGTGATGGGGAACTCACTAATAACAACAGCTAACATTTACATAGTTCTTTAATGTTTGCAGAGAGAATTTTACCTATAGTATCTTGGCTGATCCTCACAATAACCCTATGAGGCAGGTGCTATTATTATTCCCTTTTTACAGTTGAAGAAATTGATGCTGAGGGAGTGACGTGCCCAGGGTCACACAGCTAGTAAGTATATAAAGGCAGGATTTGAACTAAGCTCTTCCTGACTCCAGGTATAGTGTTCTAACCACAGACCACCTCACTACCCATTATCTTCTAAAGCAGCCCATTCCATTTTTGGATAATTCTAACTGTTATGTGCTTTTCTCTTACATGGGAAAAATTCTGCCTCCCTCTAATTTCTCCCATTGCTCCTAGTTTTGTCTTCTGGGGCAAAGTAGGACAAGTAAATCCCTCTTCTCCATGACGGTTCTTCAAATGCTTGAAGACGACCATGTGCTCCTTCAAGTCTTCTGACTAAGGATCCCCAATTTTTTCTACTAATGCTTTTGTGGAATTGTTTCCTGCCCCTTTGAGATACTGTTCACTCTGTTCTGGACAAGATTCCGTTTGTTACTGTCTGCTAAAATGTTACTGTAGGGGTGGTTGGTCTTGGCAGTGATCAATTGCTGTCAGTGAGAGGCCCATCTCATCTACCACCTGGGAATTGGACTTGAAAGTTGCAGAGGGAATGATGGGATGGAATACTATGGCCATATGATGTTGTTCTTGGGATACTGGTAACCTGCTAATCCTGCTGAACTTACATCACCTCTAACACCCCGCAAACCCTATCCCCACTGTGCATACTATACCACAAATTCATTAGAAAGACAGTACAGCTTTTTATTTTCTTATTTTTAGCTTTTTTTGTTGTTGTTGAGGCAGTTGGGGCTAAGGGACTTGTCCAGGGTCACAACAGCTAGTAAGTGTCAAGTGTCTGAGGCCACATTTGAACTCAGGTCCTCCTGACTCCAAGGCCAGAGCTTTATCCACTGTGCCACCTAGCTGCCCCAGACAGTACAGCTTTCTGACATTTCAGCCTT